TAACCACTCTTCGTCAATAACTTTAATCAGTCATTTTCCAAGTACAGCACTGCACGATCGATCGTGATCTTTTTTGACGTAGGACTACGTCTTTGATTTCTATATGGGGGTACACTTTGTGAAAACCGTAAATGGAACATGTAACAAATTAAGAAAGATTTTGAACGTTAATAACTCAGCTGCCCCTGGTCCAATTTCAATAATGTTATCACCAATCGATCAGAAATATGGCTACGCATCCGCAAAATGCTTCCGAATGTTGATTTTCAACAATAAACTATTGAAAAACTGGTAAATGTCCAGCATTGTCCAAAAGCGTCGAATTAACTAACAAATCCACCAATTACCTACATGCATATGCTGCTTCCCCAGCACAGTCGTCAGAGAGTAGTAAGTAGACGAAACAAGTCGAAGTGGCATTCGCCTCCGATCCTCGGGCGCGTGCGAATAGGGAGGATGGAATTGCGTAATATTTTGCACACTCATCGCCATACTCAGAACCACACGCTCCCAACGACCACACCACTGTGTGGTGGTGTTCGATCGTCGAAATTAGTAGCAGCAGTAGCAGCAGTAGCAGTGCTTTCGGCGTGTGGCGTTGAAAATTGTTCTCCAGTAATAACGAAAGGCTGCCTGCAAGCAGCGAGCTGCAGAGCCCACATAAGCAACCATCAAAGGAGGAAGAAGCTGCACCGCTATGCTATGGATCGGAATTAGTAGCTCTTCGTGAGTCGCTGCGGGTCGGTCATCTAATGCAAGCGTGTCACCCTCGCTCCAAACGACATACAGCTACAAAACGGTCCTTTTCAGGGCCACCAATAATTTGTTAAAGAGTATTATTTGTGAATTGGTCAAGGTCATCAGTTCCCGCAAGCAGCTAGCTATCAAGGCTCAACCTGTCTATAGAAGGTGTGGAATTGTAGGCCTGAATATATTGGTGCAATTAGTTTTTCCTCGGCTTTCATTCCGCACCATTCGTTTCTTTCGTTTAATCAATCACCCTTGTAGTGACGTCGAAAAGATTGTTTCAATCGGCGCTTACATATAAAATTTAAAGTGGTTTATAGAATTTTTTGAATGTTACCAAAATTTATGAATGGGTTGCCATTAAATGTTGAGATAATTTATTGATTATTGAATTATCACACTGTATACCATGAAAAAGCAGCCTGTTTGTGAGTTTTTGCCTGTTTTCAAATAAGGAGTTATCATAAAAAAAAAACAAATCGCCAGCTGGTACATTTTTCCTTCTTCCAACACATACATCAGGGCTAGATAGATCTCCACAGGATCTATAGAATCCACGCAATTTCTAAAATCCAAAATGCACAGCATTACGAAAAGAGGTCAGGTTTCGACCAATAGCAGATAGATTTTAATTCTAAACAAGCCAAACGATTGGAAATTTATCTACCAATCTGCTAAAATGAACACTTAGTTAATTTTCAATAGGTCACTATTTAAAAATACCAAATGTCCAACTGTTTGCAATGGTGATCAAAATTATCACCGAATGTCTGAAAGCAGCGCTTTCCCTAACACAGACTTAAAAACCGAATTCGATGCGGTCCCACTGAACGGTGCTCATTATATCACCATAAGTGGTGCTGTCCAGTTCAGCAGCAGCAGTAGTAGCAGCAGCAGCAGCAGGAGTGCTTTCAACAACAACAACAACAACAACAACAACGAAAGGCTGCCTGCAAGCAGCAGCAGCAGGAGCTCATATGAGCAACCATAGAGAAGGAGGAAGAAGTCCCACCGCTAGGCTAGGATCGGAATCAGTAGCTCGTCGTGCTCAGCTCAGCATTACTCAACCATCACTACAAAACGGTCCTTTTCAGGACCACCATAAATTTGTTAAGAGTATTATTTGGACATTTGTCAAGGTCATCAGTTCCCGCAAGCAGCTAGCTATCAAGGCTCAACCTCGTCTCTATAGACGGTGTGGAATTGTAGGCCCGAATGTATTGGTGAGATTAATCATCGTCCGACCATTTTCCAGAACACGCTGGTAGGAAGTGTTAAAAATCCAATAGAATTTGAGAGAAGTGGGAATAATTCGCTTTGGGTGTATATTCAGTCCCCAGAAAGCCAATAAAATCAAATTTGTGAGAAAATTAGCTCTCACGAGTTCAATCTCTCGAAGTCCCTACTTTTTTACATATTCTGCAAAAACGATACTTTCCGCTCCGCCCCATTCATATAATTCGGAAGGAAATCCTGTGAGGGGTGAATTGAATACACTTTAATACCAAAATGCACAAAACTTAAAAATTCATAAATAACAAAAAAATCAAAATACACCTTTTAAAGTCGGGTAGATGAATCGAAAATACTCAAGTTGACAGTCCCTTCGATTCTCTTCATCAATTTTCTCTTTGAAATAAATACTACAAATTTGATAAGCTTACAAATAAAAAACGGAAAGAGTTAAGATAATTGATGATTGATCAATTAAAAGAACTAAATGTTCACATTTGTTCCGTCCACTAGCGGTCCTACGTCAAGCTTCCGTTCGTGCCCCTAGGCACAGACCCTTCTACTTTTTTGTGATGACCATGGTTTCCTATTTCGCACTATTTCTGCTATGTTCTTCTATCATCCAACGTATCAATGAATGTGTTTGCCGTCGGGTTAACGTTATCTAACCGTGCACTTCGTTGTTGCTCCTCCGTGAAATATCACAACTAATCCACTTGCACAGAGAACTACCATATAGGTAACTCTAAGACAAGTAGGTCCCGAAGAAACGTGCTCAACTTTTTGGCTCAGCTCTGGTACTATCTTCGGTCCCAAGCTTGTCGAATCACCCCTCCTCGAAACATAGGAAAAACCAATAACCCCTCATTTTATCTGTCAAACTTTCATAGCGAATCAAAACAAACATTGCGTAGTACTAGAATTTCGACTAGAATAGGGTACGTTAATCGTTTGCTTGGGACCAATAGGCTACTAAAGTGGTGAGCCAATTTAAAATCGTTAGTTTCGTATTGATTGTTGGAACTACATAGATGGTGCATGGAATAAGCTTTCCATCTTTAATTTACATTACACATTAATTCAAATATTCAAATGAGCGCCGGCCACGTCCTCACGGTCTTTTCGGGAGGGGAGGATGATTAGTTCGACGTCCGGTTGTTACTAGAGACCGAGAATACCTCTACATCTCCACGGCTGTCTCGGGAAGGATAGTTATGTAAGTGAGGTAGGTTATTTTTTGATTAGGATTAACTGTGGTAACCCGCATAAGCGCGAACCATAAATTGACCTTACCGATAATGGTTATAAATTGTTTATAATCCCTGCTAAACTTCAACTGAAATGGTTATGGAACTTTACATGAACGTTTAATAATAAAGTTTTAACCTTAAGTATTATAGTTTTTTGGAAGTGGACCTTACAAATAATGGGTTGTTAAGAACCATTACCATTCCAAATTCTTGTTTTCTCCATACATTTTCGGAAAGAAAACTTTACTTAAACCTTTTAACTTATGGTTTAAGAACATTAATGGTAATGGTTATGGTAACCAGTAAGGTCCATGAATAGTTTTGTAACATCGTCAACTTTATGTGGAATATATCGCGAATTGGTTGCCTGTAAATTACTGATTACCAATTCACGGTATATTTCACGTAAAGTTGAGTGATAATACAAAACCATTAATGGACCTTACTGACTACCATAACCATAACCATTAATGTTCTCAAACCATAAGTAAAAACGTTCTAATATAGTTCTCTTTCCGAAAATGTATGGAGAAAACAAGAATTTGGAATGGTAATGGTTCTTAACAACCCATTATTTGTAAGGTCCGCTTCCAAAAAACCATAACACATAAGGTTAAAACTTTATCACACAAACGTTCATGTAAGGTTCCATAACCATTTCAGTTGAAGTTTAGCAGGGATTATAAACAATTTATAACCATTATCGGTAAGGTCATGTGATGGTTCGCGTTTATGCGGGAAGTGATGCGATCGGTTAAAGCGGAATTTGTTTTTTTATTTAAATCTAGTGGGGATAGAATAAGGCAAAGTGAAAAATTGCACGGAAGGGGACAGGCCAGGATTGATCAGTAAGCAGAAACGGTAACCACTGAACTACCAAACCTCATCGTAATGCTACATCGACATGTTTCGTCTACTTACTACTCTCTGACGACTGTGCTGGGGAAGCAGCATATGCATGTACGTAATTGGTGGATTTGTTAGTTAATTCGACGCTTTCGGACAATGCTGGAAATTTACCAGTTTTTCAATAGTTTCTTGATGAAAATCAACATTCGGAAGCATTTATCGATGCGTAGCCATATTTCTGATCGATTGGTGATAAAATTATTGAAATTGGACCAGGGGCAGCTGAGTTATTAACGTTCAAAATCTTTCTTAATTTGTTACATGTTCCATTTTCGGTTTTCACAAAGTGTACCCCCATATAGAAATCAAAGACGTAGTCCTACCTATGGTCCTACGTCAAAAGAATCAGCAAATCGTCAATTGGGATTCATTTCCAAGATTGCTCGAGATTCCACAGGCTATCACTGCTTGAAGGCTATATTGCTCTTTAGGTTCAATACTTGAACATGTATCTGTAGTTTGGTCTTCATATGAACTAGTGTGGACACTTTAAAGAGAACAACATTTCAGGACCTAGAAAAACTTTATAGCACTAATTTGAAATGTACTTATCCTGTTAACACGGTCAAACCACCAACCAATAAGAAACTAATGATTGTAAATTGGCTTATTACTTGAATAGCCCATTGATCCCAAGTACTAGAATCTGGCAAAGTGTGTGTTTGTTTTTATTCGCATTATAAATTTGGCAGAGTTTAATGAGGGGTTCGTGGATTTTTTACGTTTCGAGGGGTGCTTCAATTAGCTTTGGACCGAAGGTCTGATACTTCCTGAGCGAAAAGATTGACCTTCGGGATCCCCTGGTCTTAGTATTAGTCTATGACACTAAAATATACCTCTTTATCTTTATCTCCTTCACAGATGGCATCTCAGTTCAGCGAATCACCCTGGACCATGACTTCACCGACGATTCGGAGATCGAAACTATCCCTCGCGGTCTCCGCCTGGACGGCAATGGGCAACGTATTGAAATCAAAGACATCGAAGATACAACAGAATTTTCGATGATCAGCATTACGCGAACGCTCCGCACCGGTCAGATCGTGTCGGACCTGATCCATACCAACGGAAAGTTGAAGGATCGGGAGATTCAGTGGTACGGTGGACCGGAACAAATGGAACAATTCTACCCGATTCAACGGTTGCGCTTCGAAGATTACGCCTATGTACCTAAGGAGTTGCACAGTGCGGCGATCGTGGAGCGATATTGGCTGAACTCCGCTGGAGTATTTTTCTACGTAGAGAAAGAGGTTCCCTTGTTTATCGATCAAGATGAGGAATCGCTACGGTTGACTGCGAAGAAAGAGTTGCCCTACTACACGTACGACGAGTCGTTTGTATTCAACTATCGGATCGGAGTGGCTAAGGATGTGAAAGAAGCTCACCTCAAGGCGGTCGATAAGGTGTTGAACAAGCCAGTCGACATACCCGATGAACGTATGGTGCGGCATCCAATTTGGTCGACCTGGGTACGGTACAGGAGACCGATCAATCAACAGACGGTGTTGGACTTTGCCAAGGAAATCAATGATTACGGGTTCAAGAACGCACAACTGGACATCGATGACTTCTGGGAGAACTGCTACGGGTCGTTGGTCTTCAATTCATTAACATTTCCGAATGTAACCGAGTTGACGGAGCAGCTGAAGGAGATGGGTTTTCGAGTAACACTTTGGATTCATCCGTTCATCAACAAGAACTGCCAGCCATGGTACACGGAGGCGCTGACTAAAGGGTAAAGGATCGATTATAATTTGGGGTTGAGAGTTGTTAATGAAGTCCGTTTTATCTAGGTTCTTAGTAAAATCGCACAACGAGAGCATTGGTTACAACACCAAGTGGTGGAACAGCGGAGAGGACGAAGCTTCGTACATCAATTTCAACAACCACGGAGCAGTGGAATGGTTCCGACAGCGACTCGTTGAATTACGGGAGCAAGGAATCGATAGTTTCAAGTTCGACGCCGGTGAAACCAGTTGGGCCCCGGTGGATCCTGATGTGGAAGGACCGAAGGCCCTGCTACCGGCGAGTATGACCACGAGCTTCGTGCGAATGTGTGCCGAGTTTGGGCCGATGATCGAGATTCGAACCGGGTGGGCTACGCAAGACTTGCCGGTATTTGTGAGGATGCTCGACTTCGACACTCGCTGGGGTAGGAACAATGGGCTGCAATCGCTAATTCCGACCTTGCTGCAGATGAATCTGAACGGATACGCGTTCGTGCTGCCGGACATGATCGGCGGGAATATGTACGGCAGCGACATACTAACGAAGGAGCTGTTCATCCGATGGTTGCAGGCGAATACCTTTATGCCGAGTATGCAGTTTTCCAAGACTCCGTGGGAAATTGATGATGAGGTGAGTTGTGAATTATGTTTTCGTTCCGTTATTCTGACGTATTCCAAGTAGTGCATAGTTCCTTAAAACAAAGTGTGTTATCCCTAATCTAATTCCTTTCAAGAAATGTTCACGTGGTTCATGGACAGAAAAGATTTGATACAGCTGCTAACCGATTTCATTTCACTTTCATTTCAGAGTGTCACTATAACGAAGCGCTTCACGATGCTACACGAGGAATACTCCGATTACATACTGCAACGGATGCGTCTGGCAGTGGCGGAAGGCACCCCCGTCAACCCACCTATCTGGTGGCTCGATCCGGAAGATGAAGAGGCTCTGAAAATTAGCGATGGTAAGTCATCGAAACAACCCCCCCTGGATTCAACCACCACAGCTCTAAACTAGTAACACCAATCATTTCTTCACAGAGTACCTGCTCGGGGAGGACATTCTGGTGGCTCCGGTCCTGACGGAATTTGCCACAAAGCGAGACATTTATCTACCAAAAGGCACGTGGCGGGATGGGAACACCAACCAAGTATACGAAGGCGGTCGATGGTTTTACAACCATCTGGCCCCGATGGATACGCTGCCGTACTTCATCAAGACTACGTTCCAAATGCGATAGTAGAAAAGTTCAGTTCGAAATTCGTGTGATAAGCAGTGATCAAGAGTCAAGTATTTTCTGAAGCTGTACATAGTGTTGTAAGGAGATTCGAAGCGTTTGTAAATGAAAACGATGTCACATACTTTTTATATGCTTTTTCGGCTGATCGAAAACGTTTTTTTTTGTATTGTTCACTAGTTATATCGAAGACTTCCGTTCGATGCTTTGCACTAATCCTTTACCGATGATTTCAAAGTCCCGTATCAGAGCTTCCGTATTCAATTTTAGGGTTTCCTTCTTTGTAAGTATACGACCGTTTATGTTGCTAGTCTGTAAATAAATAGTAATCGAAAATAAAGTTTAATGATCGTTGGCGGACTTTTGTGTGGAGAATATTATTTACCGTGAAAGGCTTCTCCTCGAGGGCATCGGGTCTCCACAGCACTGCGATCCGATCGCCGCCACAGTGGTCGTAAAAGAATACCGCATACTTGCGATAACCTTCCCGGAGTTCGTGCAGGTACAACTGCACCGGATTGAACCCAGCAGCCGGATCTTTTGTTTCCGGTTCCACCAGGTATTCCTTCTTGCTTGTGGTGTAATTTTCAATGCTGGTTATTCCAATTGCAGGGATAATGGTTGAATCCAGATGGATTATCAAGTTGTAACCATTGTAAGATGGTTTGTAAAATATCTGTGAAATATGCGGCGTAGGTAATTAGAACCTGAATTCGCTCGTATTCGCAACAAGACTAAACTTACATGAACTTTGTTACGAATGGTATTGAAGTTATCTTCAATCATCCCAACGACATTCTTCGCCAGCAACACCACCCGGTTCAACACCTCCTGGCTGGGGGCCATCTTGGCGAACAGTCCATACTTATCCGCATCACAAGATGTCACGATCGCCAACGGTGGAAAGCTGGCCCTCTTGTCCATGAACTGCTTCTCCAGTTCTTCCACCTTTTCCTCCGGTATTTCGTCGTTGAAATTCAACAGCACCAGCTCTTTGCTCCAATCCGTACCGGCTAAATGCTCCATGAACCTCAGGAACCCTGCCTGCGGTTGCAGAGTCGGATCTTGCTTCAGGTACAGCGAAGCAACAATCAACTCCGTGCACTCGTCCGGCCACAGGAAGGGATCGATCAGCTGCGAATACAGCCACCGTTTGGCCATGGCGGCAACCGACCCGAACGAGAAGTGCTGCTGATGCAAGCCGTGTAGGATAGCGGTCAGTTTGGGCAGTGTCATGGCTTGCATTTCCAGCTGGATACTTTTGTCCGAATCGCGGTACAGTTTTGTGATCTTGTTCTCCGAGAGATACTCCCGCTGCAGTATGATCTCACGCTGGTGGATAATTCGAAGACGGAAGAGGTACTTTTCTGCGAAAGACGAAAAATTCAAACAATAGAAACCATCAAAAGAACAACCGGAATTTTTCTACCCACCGTACATAATATCCAGGTAATCTTCATAGGCCTGCGGTACCAGTTCTGCACTTTTTCCAGCATACGATCGTATGGAATTCGCAATTTGCAGATGGAAAGCCGCTTTCAGCTTTCGGAGCGCTTCCAGCTGATCGGGCCACTTTCCGCTGGACTCCAGCTGGATCGTTGCATTGACGACATGCGACGCCAAGAACATCAACTGCTCATTAACCAACAGAGCCTTTGCAGTTGGCCTCGGTGGATCCGGATCTGCATACCGGAAAACGGCATCCGTTCCTGCCAGCGAATTGATCGTAAGGGGAAGATCGTCCAAATTCTTCACTATTCGACTCAAGTTATCGAACGTCCTGATGCATGCCAACGAGCGCTCCTCGACCGTTTCGTGCAACTCGCTTCCATCTGGCCTTACGGAAATCTCAAACTGTTGCGCCGCATAGGTAACCTTCGTGTCCGGGATATCAAAGTGCGCGTTCAACAGGTATAGCACGATCTTCCTGCAGATCAATCGCTTCTCCCCGAGCGGGTCCGAACTGGAACCCCATACGACCGACTCCGTTATGGAACCGTCTTTGAATCGGCGGAGTTCGGCTTTGCCACGCCAAAAGTCTCGGAAGTCATCAGAAGCGGCCTTGTCGATCGCTTCCGGGCCCTTGTCCAGGACGGCAAACGCTTCCTCGGGGTTGAGCAAGATGCCAAAGGTCAGCATCAAATCGGTGCTGTCTTGGATCTGAATCGGCACGATAAACGATGCTCGGAGACCGAGACCACGTCGGAATAGCTGATATACCATCTTGCGGAAATGGGCGTACGGATCGGCGAAGTAATTAAGCTTATCTTCATCGGAACCGAAAGTTTCCACCACGGACTTGATCAAGTCCGACTTCTCAATGCTCATAATGTGATCGTACTGAGTGTAGACTGGGTATTTGCTGAGGAACAGCGGTAGGAAGCTATTGACCTTGTGATTGTCGAGCAGAAGAATAGCCGCGGTAGCTTCCTGCTTCACACGGCGGTACAAATCACCCGATAGATTCGCACAGATATTCAAAAGACCGGAATTATCGAGAAACACGACTTCGTACTGCTTCCGGTAGGTCTCAAGATTGGCATTCGCTTCCATGCTGATTCCATCGGTATCCCAATGGCTGTTGGCCAACTGGTTCCAGAATAGGCGAATAATCTGATAGCTGCTCATGGAGTTATATACCTTGCGAGTCTGCAGCAGATATGCGATGTAGAAGGTTACGAGGGCGCCGTCAAACCCGTAGTAACCGGCATCGAACCGACGCTGCCTGATCCATACCTTGAGCAGAATGATGGCTTGACGGACATTATCTGATTGGATGATGCTGTCAAGGATTTCCTGGTTCTTCAACAGTCGCAAGTCCGACAGGATGGAAGAGTTGTAGTGAGGCGTTGGACACAGCAGTTCGGCATCTGAACTGACCTCCTGTCCAATCAAAGCTGGTCGGACGTTGTTTTTCTCTGAAAGAAATCTGATAACAAACGTGATGTTAAGCTCCGAAGCATAGCAACACCGGATCTAATCGAATTGTATGTGAAAGGTAAACAAAGATTTGATCAAATAGGTAAACATGGCAAGCGAATATTTGTTCAGTCATCACGAAACACCATGCCAAGAATATTCTTTCTCATACTAGCAGTAGTGTTACTGATGGCCGCTCCAGCGTGCCGTAGCGATCGCGTAAATGTTAGCTCTGGAGTGTTGGATTGCGTTCGCTTCCGAAGTGTGTTCCAACGGAAACATGTCTTCGGAACCGGTTACTACCACAATCAGGACTTCTACCGCTTCCTGGCGGTATTCGAAAACAACATAATTCCACACAATTCAGCCTTCCGAATCGAAAGGATCAATGAGTACGAAGAACCGCTGTACCATATCAAGATGATCAACACGCGGGAGTACGTCTTCGCGGGCTTCATGTCGACGGCAAAGCACATGACTCGGCTTCCGATCTTTTCCTATCACCATCTAGTGAATAAAACGCGCAAGGACGACGGAGTGTGGGGCTTCGAGAAGGCTTACGAAAATCACATCTGGAACGGTGCTTGGTACATTAGGAACGCGTACTACAACGAGTATGTTATTGCATCGTTGGTGGATGCGGAACCACCGCCAATGGCCATGAATGCACGGTTCAAGGTGCTCAAACTGGACCGGAGGCGGCAGGTTCCGCTCAACAGTGAACACATGTTCTACATTGAGGAATGTTGAGCGGTTTGGGAACTAATAAACAATGTGGAAAAGTGTATTAGAATGCTTTTGGACTTGCTATAAATGTTCTCTGAATCCAGATCTGGGCATTTTCAGACGACATTGTCCTTTCAACTTTGCGACACCCTAGAACTGTTAAAGAGTTATATTCGAAATCCTTTGAGTTTACCGTGGCTTTTCCTAGACTCGCCCTAAGCTTACGGTGAAGTTTTCATAGAAGTACTCAAAACGTTGAGCAGAAGATTTATATGCTTCTACTGTAAGTATTTAGTGAACGTCCTCTGAAGTTCCTCTAAAAACGCACTGAATTTCTCCCAGAAGACCATTAAGCTTCGTTGTAGTTACTCTTGCAGAAAGGAAAAGCGAGCGTTGGTGGACTCTCTGGCCGACTTCTTCTTCTGCTTTCAAGCTTATTGCGTGCTCTCAACTTAGTGTTCTAGATGTACTTTCAAAGTTATTAATTGAGAGCTTTCGGAGCTTGTACAATTTTTGCATTAGTAAAATTGTGTGGCAAGTACATTCATACTCTATGCCAAGGGAAGTCGAGAAATGTTCCAACCCGAAAAATTCCTAGACCGAAGACAAATTCGGCAAGTGTTATTCTTAATTGATTTTCTCAAAACACAAACGTTTCCAACCAATAGAAGAGCACTTTTCTTATGTAGAAATGTCCAGGGAATTGATTGCGCTACTGTGTTACCTGACTTATAACGAATATACGTTGTATACGAGTATCCCGAATACAACGTATAGCTCGTCTAATTTTAATGTTGTTTTCGGGGAACTCGTATACAACGTATATTCGTTATAAGTCAGGTAACACAGTAGGTCTCGTAGAAGGCAGAGCACGGACAATTCCCGTTTTACCCGAGGGGAGCGACACATCTAAATCTCAATTCTAGATGCTCAACAAATCTCACACTAGCGAATCAATCTTCGAAAAATCATCTTTCATTTCTCGCATCTACTTGCATCGTGCTTCATCTTTTTGCAGGAAATCTTCAAAATCGACATAAATCTTCCTTCTATCTACTCAGCGTGCGTGCAGCTAGCAACAGCAAAACACAATCTTTTCTGCATCGTAGATAGAGTCGTCCCCCTCGGTTTTACCCAAGGGGTAAGTCACTCAGCTAGATTTGGCACAGCTTGGGCACATCCATCGGCACACCTTCGGAACAATCTCGTAGGCATTGGATTGTTGTAAATAAAATAGGAGCACTGCTGGACAACTGTGATTGAAGTTGTTCACAAAATTACGTGCTATTGTGTATGTGACTGTATACCCGAGCAAAATCTGAGATCAAATTGAAATCTAAATTTGATGTTGTGATTCCGCTGATAATGATAACTCAGGTTGCTGTCGTTTTGGCCGTTTTAACGGTTAAAATATTCCAGGTGTCAGTAATACCAGGTTGCCGGGATGGGTATTGGACAAACAATAGCAGCTTGCTCTATGACCGGCACACTGACAAAAAAGATGACCTAAGATTGGTGTGCGGAGTGACCTACCCCTTGGTTTTACCTCAATTTTCCTATGATCTGTGAGAATAACCAGTGCGCAAAACAGTCAGGTTCAATGGTTCATTTTCATATGAATGTGAACAGCCATCCGCCTCATCATTCACTGCCTCGTGAGAGTCTGAATGATTGGGAAGTAAACGAGTCACTGACAGCACACGCTATTTCAAAACTACCCAAATTTCGGTAGAATCCACCCAGATCTGTCAAAACTGAACCTACCCAAAAATGGGTAAACTGTGTTGGGAGTTACAAGTTGACAAATGAACAACATCAACATAAATCCGATCGACGTTGTTAATTTGTTAACTTGTCACTCCCAACATAGTTTACCCATTTTTGGGTAGGTTCAGTTTTGACAGATCTGGGTGGATTCTACCCAAATTTGGGTAGTTTTGAAATAGCGTGCAGAGCACTTAATCAGCACGTTTATTTTTTCTTGATGGTACCCAATCCTTGTTTTGAATCACTGAACGTACATTTTCTATGGAAAAATGTCTCAATTACATACTGTGTGAGCGAAGACCAACGGTGTGAGTCGCCTATTCGTGAGTGACTGAATGTTTTTGTTGGCTCTTTCATTGCCCCGTTTGGTTAAAGGCCTACAGTAAAAGTATGGGCGTCTGTCAAAAGTTGTTCCAATTGAACCGTCAAAATTGATGAATCTACGTTACGGTCGGCCAGCAGATGGAAATGATGTGAAAATGATAATGACGTTTTGCTAGCTGTCAAATCGTATGGAATATTTTTTAGTACATCATCACTTTTGTGGTTTTGGATTTCAAACCTAGGTGTCGCATGCACTGGTGCAGTTTCGCGTAGATTCATCAATGCACCGCATGAACGATTGGAACAGCTTTTTTTTCAGTTTTGTGATTGGCGTCTTGCAGTGAAACTTTTCCAAGCTTTCGCCACCTACATTTCGAAGTGAGAACTACTAGAAGGAGGATAGTTTCCAAATTTTCCAAGTAAAACAGACGCCACAGACAAACAGACATAACACTCGCAAGTTGTTCATCGAGCAATCATTTAACTATCAATTTAAAAGTATCGTAGTTGGTAGTACTGCCACCTGTGCCGCGCATAGTCAATTCCCTTGCGTTTGACGTTTACACACTACCGCCATCTGTTCAGCATACTACCCACCGCAGTGTATTCAACAGATAGCGGTAATGTTTTAGCGACGATGTTTTACAGTGATAAATAGTCTGTGAAACAAAGTAGCCGAGGATACGCCGAAGCCAGGTCCGTTTGTTTGAAGGTTGCCGTGGCAACGGATAAACAACCTAGGTAAATAACAAAAGGATACCATGGCAGCAAGTATATAACCAAGGACTCCATGGTAACCAATAAACAACTAGGAGGGTATAAATAGTGAATTTTCACCTAGTTCTAATTAGTTCTAATCCAACCATCAAGCTGTGTTTACAGTAATAAACTTCGTTTAAATCAATCCTGTCTTTCTCTGCTACGAGCAATACCTACAAGAGGTTATGGGCACCCCGAAGGAAGCTGCGCATGGAATTCCCCAGTATTCCGGTGGACCGGGCTTCGAGAATTGGAGTTTTCGCGTCAAGATGTTTTTGGATGCAGCTGGTGTGCTGCGGACATTGACGGAAAACGTACCAACAGTGGAAGCAGTTAAAGCGAAGTTTGAAGAAGATGATCGGAAAACGAAGAGCTACATCGTAGGATTCTTGGCAGATGATGTTCTGGAAGTAGTCCGGGACAAAAGCAACGCGAAAGAGATGTGGTCAAGCTTGCGTGAAGTTTTTGCCAAGAAGTCTGTGGCCAGTCAAACGCTCCTACGAAAGCAGCTTGGACGCCTACGGATGAAGGAGGGAGCTTCGATGCGGTCTCACCTTTTGGCGTTCGATGATCTCGTGAGGCAACTCAAAACGGCTGGTACGAACCTGGAGGATGGAGATCTCGTGCCTCAGCTATTCCTTAGCTTGTCGGACTCATACGATCCCCTCGTCACAGCGCTGGAAAACATCAAGGAAGAAGACTTGAACTTGGATTTGGTGAAGCAACGGCTCCTTGCGGAAGAACAAAAACGTACTGATCGGATGGGCGAAACTGTTGAGGACAGACCAGCGGTTTTCGCAGCACACTACCAGGACAGACGTGGTGGCAAATTCAAGGGTAAATGTCACAACTGTGGCAAACCAGGCCACATGAAGAAGGACTGCCCCAACCCAAAGAAGGAAGTGCATGCTGCAATTGGAAAGAAAGCAATTAGCTTTATGGTGAGCCGCGACGAGTCAACAAAATCAAACGGTAACACAATTAATTTCAAATTGGACTCTGGGGCGAGTGATCATTTGGTCAATGTAAAAACGTTTTTCGACTCGACTGAAAGACTCCCGACCCCGGTGGTGATCAATGTGGCGAAGGATGGTGAAAACCTAGTAGCAAAGGACGAAGGCGAAATCAATGGCTACAGTAACCACGGCGTGCTTCTGAAAGTGAGGAATGTTCTCTACGTGCCGGATCTCCGCGAAAACCTGTTGTCAGTGAAGAAACTTGCGGCCGTCGGTGTCGAAGTGCTGTTTCTCAAGAATAAAGCTGTACTGAAAAAGGATGGCGATGTTATCGCTACTGCACCAATGAAGGGGAACTTATACGAGCTCGATATTAAGGTGAGTGATCCAGTTGCTAACGTTTGCCAGGTGGATCGCAACGAACTTTGGCATCGTCGCTTAGGACATCTTGGCCAAGGTGGAATGGCCAAAATCGTTC